AGAGGGAGAGAGGGAGAGAGGGAGAGGGGGAGAGAGAGAGAAGGGGAGAGGGAGAGGGGGAGAGGGAGAGAGGGAGAGAGGGACACACAGAGAGGGAGAGAGAGAGGGAGAGCAGGTGATTACCGAAAGCCTCCAGGCCAAGCCTGGTCATTTTCAAGGACTCCTACAAATTTCCCTCAAGCAAAGTTAATCACTGAATGGTACTCAATTATATTTTAATGGCATTTCTATTTTTACTTAAACTGAATACCAAAAGAATCACTTCTGTTTCTGTGGCCGTTACCTATGGTTACTCCATCTCCATTATCATCTTAACGTGCACTTCTTGAAGTTAGCTGATCTTCCATATTGATCATTTCATTCTGAAGAACTTACTAAAAGCCACACATACCACAGTAGAAAGAGGACCTATCTGTCATATCTGCAGCAGAGAACTGTGGGAACCAGGGCCTGGCCTGGCCTCTAGCCCTCCCCCATCCCGTCACGTCAACCTGGAAAAGATGGTTTTAAGGCTTATTGAAAACTCTGATACTATTTATTTTGCAAGTACGTATCTGGCTTCTCTTCTCACCTTTCCTGCTTTGTGTGCTTGTCCAGGGTAGTTATTCGAATTTCGCCATCGCCCTGAGGTCGTCCGAAGAGCAAAACCGGTTGATTCTGAAATATAAATGCATGTCTGCGTTTTTCATAGTGACATGGAAGCAGAAACACGAGGAAGATGTCTCCCAAGGACGACCATCTTCTTACAGTACGAATCGGCACGCGGTTTCAGCACATCCCTCAGCAGCTCAGGACTGTGCGCTGCACTGTCAAAGCCTCCTGCCCCCGTAAGCGAGGGCTTTACCCAGGACATTAGCTAACTTTATTTATAACCGCAAAAGGAAAGTTAAATACCCAAAGAGATACATAACTAACACAGTATGACTCACAGACGACTTCTAGGCGCTGAAAGTGTGCGCCACCACAGACCAGGACCGTGTGTGGCCCGCCCTCAGGGCGCGCCCTGCCTGTGGGGAGCAGGCACCTGCAGGGCAGGCGATACAAGCGCCCCCGTTCAAGGGTGCACACGGGACAGGGATTGACCCGGGCCAGAGTCGGGGGTGGGGGGGCTTTGAGTTCAGGTCTCAAAAAAATGGAAATTTCTGGCTTACTGAATAAAAGTAATGATCTGTTTCCTCAAAGATAGTACTTGCTGCACTCGCTAAGAGAGAAACAAGCTGTTGTCACTAACATCTAAAGAGTCTATTGTCAAAAAGGGCATAATTAACTCATATAAAAGAGTACAGTAATAAATTCTCTCTATCAAAATCCCAGTGACCTTTTGCAAAAATAAAAAAACTCATCTCAGAATTGGTATGCATACTCACAAGATTCTGAAGCCAAAATAATCTTGAAAAAAGAAAAGATGGAGTATCTCATACTTTCTAATTTCAAAACTTCTCCAAAGCTACAATAATTACAATAGCGCGGCCTTGGCATAAAGACATACAGACCACTGCAATCAAAGGGTCGGAAAAACCCTTCACATATATGCTTGAAATTATTTTCAACAAGGTACCAAGAGCATTCAGTGGGGAAAGGAGGGCCAGTCAAAAAGCTCAGTGGATTAAAGCACCTGCAAGCAGGAGCAGGGGCCAGGGGTTCGATCCCCAGGCCTGCCGTGCTGGCCCCGCCCCCGGGGTACAGAGACAGCAATTGAGCCTGGGCGTGGTGGTGTGAGCCTGTAATCCCAGCTCTTGGGAGGCTATAAACAAGCGGATCACTACAAGTCCAATCTAGTAGTGAGACCGTGAACACTCTGTAGACCCTTCCCAGAAAGAAAGAAAGAAAGAAAGAAAGAAAGAAAGAAAGAAAGAAAGAAAGAAAGAAAGAAAGAAAGAAAGAAAGGAAGGACGGCTCTTCAACAAAGGGTGCCGGGAAAACTGGATAGCTACATGGAATAGAATGAAGTTGAACTTTTCCTTTATACTATATATTGATTTATTCAAAGTAGATCAAAACCTTTGAAGTCTTACAAGAAAATGGAAAATCTATCATAGAGTTCAGCAAAGATTTCTTGGGTATAACCCAAAAGCCTAAGCAACAACAAAGATTGATATATTGGATTTCATCAAAATTAAAGACTTTCATGCCTGAAGAACACTACCAACCAGGTAAAAGGCAGCCAGAGAATGAAGCATTTGCAAAGCATCTTTATGAGAAGAAACTGCAGGCAGGGCACATGGCCACCCCAAGTTCAGGCCAGGTGTGGGGGTGCACAACTGTAATCCCCCAAGACACTGAGGCACGAGGATCACTGTGAGTTCAAGGCCACCCTGGACTACAAAGTGAGCTCAAGGTCAGCCTGAACTACATACTGAAATCCTGTCTCAAAAAGGAAACAAAAAGGTAAAGGAACTACAAATTCAAGAGAACAACTGTATTAAAAATGGTCAAAGCCCTGGCTTGCACAAAACATTCCTATTTGAGCAAACACCATCATATTAAATAAAGGTGGAAAATTTGTATTTTATTGATTTTATATTTTTAATTTAATTTATAAGTGTTACGATTTTAATTATTATCTAAGAACTACATGCATAAAAAAGTACACCTAATCCTGTTGGGGGTTTTTTGTTTTTTGTAATTTTTTTTTTTTGTCTTTTAGACTCAGGATCTAGCAATATAGTTCAGGCTGGCCTTGAGCTCAATTTGTAGCCCAGGCTGGTCTCGAACTCACAAAACCTCCTGTATCAGCCTCCCAAGTGCTAGGATTACCAGCATGTGCCACCATACTCTATTTACCTACTTTTATAGTTGTCCAAACATTTAAAAAATTAAAGTAAAAATATATTATTAACCTTCAAAAAAAATGGCCAAAGCATGTGAACAAGTATCTCTAAAGATATTCAAATAACCAATAAACAAATGAAAAAATGTCCATATCATTAATCACTAGAAAATGCAAGGCAAAACTACAAGAGATTCTACTTAACATTTGTTAGTGTGTGTATTTTTAAAAATTATATAATAACCAAAAATTAAGATGTGTCAGCAAAAATATGCGGAAAATGGACCCCTCATTGACCTGTAATGGGAGCATAAGGTGACGCAGCTGCTCGCGAAGTGGTACGAAATTCCTCCAAAACATAAATCTCCATATAGCAAGAATCTCCACTTGCAGGTACGTAACCAGAAGAAGTAAAAGCAGGCCCTGGACTAGAGACTGACGCTCCTGTACATATCACAACAGCTGACAGGAAGATGTGGCCCAAGTGTTCACGGGTGACAGCATAAACAAAAAAATGTAGAGATAAACCAACAAGGGGCGCTATGCACACCATGATGGAGTATTCAGACTTAAAAAGAAATTATGGAGAGCAAAAGGGAATTTTTGTCATATGCTGCAACGTGAATAAACCCTAAAGACATTAAGTGAATGAAATCAATCAGAAAGGACAAAGGCTGCGCGACTTAGGTGTAGTTGCTAACGTGGTCAGACTCTCAGAGCCTGGCCATGGAAGACGGCGGCCAAGGGCTGCAGGGAGGGGCAGCAGGGCTCTGGGTAATCAGGGCGGACTTCCTGCTTTGCAAATTGAGAGTTCTGGAGGGGGGTGGCAGCGAGGGCTGCACGACACTGTGAGTGGACCTAACATTGCGATTAGACTCAGCCAATTTATTATGTGTACATTTTGGTTCCATTTTTTAATGCTATGTGGCTGTCCATGGACTATGCTATGGAATTTCAAAGAGAAAGGGATAGCGAGAGATTAGGAAAAGGGTTGAGCCTGGAGGGAGTCTCACAGGAAAGAACAGCAACGACGCTGCAGGCCTATGGCGGCGAACCCTCGGCCTGCGTGCTGCAGTGGCCCACTTGTATCATTAAAAGGTTCGCCACCACTGCTAGGCCCTGAGATGAATAGAACGGAGGGCAGGCATTGCAGACTGTAGACTATGTCCACAATACAAAATACGATTAACATAAAACATGATGGCAATTATTTGCTGGCTGAGTTGAAGAAAATGTTTTGTTTTTTGTGGTACTGGGATTGAACTCAGGACCTTGTGCTTGGCACAAGAAAATGGTTTAAATCCAGGGCCCTAAGGGTCTTCAGCATCTCTCAGCAATGTTACTGAGGCACGACAGCACCAGCATCCTGACAAACTGAGGCGAGAGGGTGAACTGTGTGATCTACATTCTATTATATGGACAGACAGTAGAGGCGCTGGGAGACCCAGGAAGGAGTGTCAGCAGGTGACACGTCGGGTCCCCAAGAGCCACGCGTGTGTGCTGAGGAGCTAGAGGCAAGGCCGGCAGTGGCCCCTGCCATGTCAGGGTGGCCAGGTCGCCTGCGGAGACTTCTCCCTGGGTCTCTGAGCCCCAAGAACTTCGTGTGACCTCTGATCTCTTCAGCTCCAGTTCAAAGGACAAACAGGCCAGGCGGCTTTTCCCAGCCCCGCCATCTGCACCAGCACTTCCCAGCGCTCATCTAGGCGCGGCCCTGGCGCTCACAGCTTCCATCACAGCCGACATCTGAAAGCTCTCTTGTGCCTGCTCCTTCAGCAGGGAGAACACCTCCCTCACTGGCTCGGGCTTGGCCTTCGAGGCGTCTCTGGTATACAGAGGCACCCAGAAAGCACATGCGCCCCGAGCTAGCGCACAGCGATCAGCCCTGAGTAGCTTTGGGGCTGAGGAAAGGGACGAAAGTGCGCTGCGATGCGCAAAATTCAGACCCTGGAAGAGGCGGAGCACGGCAGGGAGAGGCACAAGCTGAAGTCGCTGGATAAGGACGAGCCACAGGGCCACCAGGGAGCCACTTGAACACTGCCAGACAGAGGAACTGGGGTAAGCACTCTACCAACAGGAACTTGAAGGTAAACTTATCTTTTCTTCAACAACAGCTCTTAGACTGTCTCCCCCAATAAAGGGGGAGGGGGAGCTGGACGAAAGCTAATTACATACCAAGTTCTCTATGGAGAGCTGAAACTGTTTAATTTCGCGAAGGGTCTCATTATCTCTCTTCACTTCGTTCACATATTGTGCCAGATCCTAAAGAACAAAGAGAAGGATACAAAGGGAGGCAGACTAAGATGAGAGAGGAGATGCAAGCTGCGCTGCAAGAAAACACGTCATTAGTTCCACGAGCCGTAAGAGTAACCACCGTAACTTTTCCACAACAATAAAATGAACATCCCATCAATCAAAGCGGCATTGCTCAAACAATTAAAATATGTCCCAGAGCACAGCTGGGAAGATTAAAGAGTTGTCATTTACCATGCCCCTGAGCACAGTGCGCTGTTGCCTTAAGAAGCAAAAACATGCAAAATTGGTCAAAAAATTCTATGAAGCGTTCACTGCTCCTTTCAATAGACCAATAGAAACCAGCAGCGCAATTTCGTTTGCTGTCTTGCGTACGTATGTATTGTATGTCCATATCCGGTAAGCCAATCAACCACTTTGAAGGCAACAGTATGAAATATAATAACTACTGTTGATTCATATCTTGTTTTTTGAAGTTCTGTCTAATTTGTCATTTTTTAAAATTATTTTTTACTTAAACAGAAATAAAATACGCTGCCGGGCAGCGCGGCGATGAGGAACCGAGCTCAGCGGGGGCAATCCCGGCACACTCACACCTGGCCCCGAGAGTCGCACTTTCACGCAGAGGGACGACAGGTAGCGCTACAGGATTTCGTTTCTTTAACGTCATACAAAATTTATTTTTTATTTTTTTCTATTTTAATAATTTTATTGAGAAAAAAGTAGCAATGAGAGAGTTTCAAAACAAGTTAGCGGTGGGGCCAGGGAGATAGCTCAGTAGAATAAGCGCTTGTCTGGCAAGCACAAGGGCCTGAGTTCAATCCCTGGTTCCGCAAAAAAAAAAAAAAAAA